TCCGGAGATTTTCATATAGCTAATTGAGTGTTATAATTTTCTTTTCTTGGTACAAAGGTAAATTTCATAACCAACACATTTACAAATTGGGATCCAATTACAAGTAAAGCCCAAAACTAAAATATGGATCCCAAAGCAAAAGGGTCCAACCCAAATTTTGAGCCCAAACAAACAAATAAAAAACGAAAAAACCTTTGTTACATAGAGGTCGTTAACACCACTGACCACGAACTACCGCCTTTTGCAGTCGCCGGTATTCAACCAAACATAGCCTCCAAATCGGAAAATAAGAAGATTCTACCCTCTTCCATCATGGCACAACTCAAATCTACATCCACCAAGTGAATGAAACTCGTGGGAGAAACATCCCACAAGTAACAATACCAATAGCAGCATACAAATGGAAGGCGATGGTGTGATCATATGTTGGTGGAGAATCCATGAAGATGCCCACTTAAAGAGACTCTCCTTAGAATTCCTCAAAAATGAATTCAGGAGCATCTAGGATTATTTTCTTGGAGCAATCAAAATTTTAAGGTAATAGAAAAATGTTCCCGTGCCCCGTTCGAGGTTGGTGCTTCGTCCCAAAGCTTGATTTTTACGCATGCTAAATTTGGGGAGAGAGGAGGGAAAATAGAAAAATAGAAAAATTTGGGGAGACAAAAGTTTTGTAATAAATTTGTGTACGTTTTGTGTGGTAAGTATGGTGTACATGTCACGTTAATTAATGAATTTATTTTATTAAATTTTAATTGTATACTACTTGAGAATCTAAGATAATACGTAAATATAGTATAAAAATGTAATTTTCCCAACATTACTCGTGAAATAGCAATAAGGCCAGAAGCATATCCCTTTAATAGAAAAATACCGTAGAAATACACACCCAGAGACATAGTTGGGTTCATAACCATCAAGTTGCATACAATATGTAACGCAGTCACCTCCAGCTCTGCTATCATCCATATAATATGATTCTATCAACATCAACCCAGCACTACTGCTTGTATTCTATATGTAAACACGCAGAATACTACCACTTTAAGCACCACACATACATACATACATACATACATACATACATATAGGCAGCCTGCAGCACGCCTATATATTTTATTTATTTATTTATCTATAATATATATTCAATACTTGAATATGATGTCTCCGAGTTACAGGAGGTGAGGCTTCTCCAAGTCCTCGATGCTGGTAGGACGGAACCAAGCCTTCTGCTCCAACACCGAGGATTCCTCACCACCATCACTGGGGAGGAACCGTCCTCCTTGCCTGCGGAAGAAGTATGTCCAGCTTCAGGACCGAATACCCCGGTGTGGGGGTTTGGAGCCCAGTTCTTGTCATAGTCTGCTTTCTTAGGTAAGGTTTAGTTTCTTTATTATAAGGATCAGGACGGTTATTGCTCTGTCCCAACATTCCACCGGAGTAAGCTATTAACTTGTTTATCAGTAGTAGTTAACGAAGGGAAATAGACCATTTAATGTCTATAGGTGAAGATTGGATGGATGCCCACTCCTTGGGTATGCTTTGTGCCGGTGTTCGTGGTATGTTGGTTTTTCTGTCCTCGTGGGGAAAGACGGGATTGGCGCATCTCAGATGCCAAGTGTTGGATATATCCTTAATAATCCGCAATAAAATAAATATGCTAATAATAAATACAAATAAATATATTGCAGAGACTCAACAAGATGAAATATTAATTAAGTAGAGTAACAAAAAATCGAAGTTTGCGTACCGCAATGTCCTTGAAACAAAAATTTCGCCCTACTCAGTGCTTGTAGTTCTACGGACGTCTGTTTCACCAGGATTCAACGATCTAAGTCAGAAATTCCAGCACCGGAAAATTGACTTCTGGTGAATATTAATGTGGTTCTCTCAGAAATGATGTTTATGATTGCAGGAGAAGATTTATGATTTTTTCTGTATTCTAAATGCCATGCAGATGGATGTATATATAATGTGATTATACATGTTCGCAACAGGTATAAGGAATGGATGCATCTGTTGGGAGACATTTGCTGAAAATGGTGTTTTTGTTTCTGCGTTTTCACACTTCAGACTTCATCTGAAAAGATGAGTCTATTGGTAAAAATAATTAATTAATTTAATTATTAGAGCCCCAAGGCCCAAGACCCATCTTTTGACAATTAAATATATATTAATTATATATTAATTACCAATTAATTAATACACCCCAAAGGTGAGCCCAATTTTAGTCTCCAGGCCTATTACTCCAATCACTTTTTATAAAGGATAAAACCTTATAAAATGATAAAATCTTTTGGGAATGGCCAATGTATGACAAAGAAATTTCTACTCAAACTACTCAAATTTCCAACATTAAGTAATGTATACATGCCACATTAATTAATAAATTTATCTTATTAAACTTTGATTGTACGCATCATTCATTGCGTGAGATTGTAAGCAAATGTAGTACAAAAATATGATATCGCTAACATTACTTGAGAAAAATAAAATAAGGTCACAAGCATATCCGTGTATTTCATAGAAAATATCGTGTATTTCAATAAAAAAATTTAAAATGCATAAGGTTTAAGTTTATAACAGCTAGAGACTAAGAACAGGAATCGCAACTAAACTATTCATTTTTGTTTTTATCAGTATGTCGTACGTGATGTGATGTTTCACCAGTGCTGCAATGGTGACAACGACTTCAACAGTTTCTTTACTGCCATTGTTTCTGTTTGGGCCTAATCTATATTTTTTGGTCCTTGTTTCGTTTTCTTTGTATTTTTGTTTGTTTGTTTGAATGAAATGCTGACTTGACCTAAAAAAAATTAAAAAATTACACGGTCTGTGCAAATTGCCAATTTGCAAAGATGGATCTAAAGATTCTCAGAGTCGACCTAATTAACAAATTAGTTTGTCTTATGTAATGACAACACGACGTTACTTTTATTATTAGCATTCCACAAAATGTTGAATGCACATCACATTAAATTTTAATACTAAATGATTTATGTATCCTATTATGCAATGATAATTTTGACCTTATTAGGTTTTAAAAAATAAAAATTTTCTAAATACACCATAAATTACTTTTATTATTTATCTTCATCAACTATCAAAACTCCTCCCACCCTCCATTTTTTTATGATTATTTGCAACTAGGTTTATCTAACATAATAGAAAGTACAGAGCATTTAGGAAGCATGAATTCTACAAATTGGATGGACATAGATATCCGATAGCTATAAAATTTGTTAGCAAACCATAATTTTTCATATGAAAACTGCCTACAAATTGGTAAGAGCTTTTGGTTTCGTTACATGGGCCAAATATTGCTTCGTAAGATACTACATCAAAGCACAACTTAAAAGTTCACATGAAAAAATAAGGTTTTGGTTCAAACGAAAGGATTCCGTTGGGCCAAATAAGGTTTTCTTGCTTAATGTTTTGCCTGATGAAAATTCGTCAGGCAAAGGTCGTAGCACAAACTTTTGGTCCACTAATTTTAAAAGGATAAATAGCCAAAATGGTCCATAAGATTTGCATAATCAATAGAAATGGTCCCTAAGATTGTCCACCATCCATGATTTTAGTCATTTCGTTAAAAACTCTTTGGGCAATTTTCAAAGTTTCGTAACTCTATCGTTTCTTAACCGAATTCGACCCATAATATATCAAAATAAAGATAGAAAAGTGTAGAACAAGATTATACATATTTGGAAGCCCAATGGTTTACGGAGATGGCGGAAAATAGCTTGAAAGGTGAATTGTCAGCGGGAAAACGGTAAAACTCGCCGAAAACTGGGTAAATTTTAAATATTCATAACTTCTTTAATACTCAACGAAATCAAGTGATTCAAAAACGAAAATCATACTTCTCGATGAGAGGAAGAGAATGGAAATTAGTTTACTTGAGTACGTATCCAATCAAAACATGCAATAGATTCAAACACTTAATGTTTATTATATGCTTTTATTAAGTAGAACGTAGCATTTTGTGGTAACCACTAATGTAAATATGTTAAATTGATGATCAGGTTCGTTTATTGTATTCTAAAAAAATTGAAACTAAACCCACTAAATTGTGATGATACGTTTCTAATCGTCGAAAATTTGGTCTCGTTACATGATCTTTGGGTGATTTTGGCATATGCCATCTCAACGTATATACCAACTAATTGACGATTGGATTGTTGAAATTAATTAATTTGGCAAACTGCAAAAATCTTCAAAGAAATTGATTATGCGAAAATGTTACATTTTGCCCGACGAACTATAAACCCTAAATCATAAAATACACACTTGCTCGACAAATACTATCACTTTGACCGACAAACTTTTTATTATTTCGTTGAGTAATATTTTAAAAGTTTTTATTATTTTTTTCGTCCAACAAAATTTGTCCCACTTCGTCAGGCGAAGTCTTTAAATTTGTTTTTAATATTTCACTAGTAGATAAACTAAAATGTACAAGTGATAAGAAGTATGTGTAGCAGTGATTGAATTACAATACTATTTAGAACGTATGCAACTACTTGTGTATTATGTATTTAGTGATTTGAACTCAAGCCCCATCCCTATTTTTATCTACTTACCTATTATTTTATTTTTGTTTATATTATGGCATGACGAGATGGGATGAATACTATTTAGAAAGTATGCAATATGTTATGCAATATATTGTGACAAAGTTGTAAAATTAAGGAAAGCGATGCACAAATATTGATCAGGGCGGGCATAATAGCTAATTAAGGTCAACTCCCTCTTTCAAAGACTTGCTCTTTAGATAAAATCCAACTTGGCAAATTGGCAGTTGGTATGTTTAGTTAATTTGTACAAGTAACACGGTTTCATCCCATTCTCACCAACAGTACTGATTAGATTATTTTACTGCTTCTAGTATGATTAATTAATTCTCATGATCATTATTATTATTCAGTCCTATTGATTCTTGTAAGACCATTTTACTGCCCCATTGTTGGCTATAAAAAGTAGTAACAGCTGATTCTAGCTAATCACGCTAATTGCTACACTTGTCTCTCAAAAGATCGATCGAGTAACCCTCAGAGAGAGAGAGAGAGATGGGACTGTTCTCAAACAAGGTTGATAAGTCCCAGATCAAGCCAGGAGATCACGTCTATACCTACAGAGCACTGCACACATACTCCCACCATGGTCAGTAACGAAGAGCATGTTTGTCATTGTTTCTAAGTGCCTCTATATAAATATGTTAAAATTGTTATAAAAAGTTCAAGTGTCTTGTGGAATAGCGTAAATGCTTTCTGAAGAGGCATTTGGTATATGATTTCTCTTTAAAGTGTTTTTACAAGTCAGAAGTACATCTAAGTTTTCTCTGTTAAACAAAGTTAAAAACTATTTTTGGCTGTTAAAAGAAACGCTCCTCTAATTTTAACTTCCACATCTGACCTAACACCCCTAATTCACTCTCACAATAATTTATTTGATTTATTTTATACATTTTGGCTATTGGCTTTTGGTTATATACATATTCAGGAATATGCGTGGAGGCAGATAGGGTGATCCACTACACCAGAACACAAGTTGCAAAAAAGAAATTATGGATGTTTTGGATTACTAAATGCAAAAACTGCGGGCATCACCCAGATATGGCACGAGGAGTGATCAAAACTTGCGTCAACTGCTTCCTAGACGGCCATGGGCTTTACCGGTTCGAATACGGAGTCTCTCAGGCTCACTTCCTATTGAAATTTCCAGGAACTTGCACGACGGGTCGTTCCAATTCAGCTGACAAAGTCATACCTCGCGCCACGGAATTGCTCAACAAGGAACAGGGTTTCGGGGACTATAACCTGTTTGAAAACAACTGCGAATCGTTTGCGATTTTCTGCAAAACAGGAAAACGTCTGAGCGGGCAGGCATTTTCTGCCTTAAATTCTACTAAAATCTTGTTCAAAGCGTTTGTGAAGCATAACGTGGAAAGGCTTCTGGAAGACGTGTCTATTCATCAACCAGACAAGTACATGCTGTTGAAACAAACTATTGAAACTCATGTTAACTTGCCCAGCAAGGAAATTATAGCCCATCTTAGAAAGCTCAACGAGAAACATGATGACGAGCAGGAGGATGTCAATGATGAAGATCTGTTAGACGACCGCGAGTATCTAGAGACAACGGAGAAGGAGGGGGATGATGATCATCCCTCTCAATCATCTTACATGATTAAGTGATATATTTACTAAACAAACCTCTTAATATTATGTTTGCATCAATAATATTTTATTTGTAATAAACTCATGTTGTAAGCTAACCTAGCTATTAGTTTGGATTCGATGATTGAATTCAGTCATCTTATCTAACCATAACAACTGAGATGTGTGTCTTTATTATGTATTACTTTGATCTTTAAACTTGGAAATGTAAGAATGGATAATTTCCCATTTTCGGCCAATGTTTGAAGTGAACTCCAATTTGGTCATATGAAAAAACTGCAATATTCTTGTTACTGGCGCATTGAAAAATCTATCATATAAGAACGATCCCATAATTCTAGTAACAATCGATATAATGGATAAAATCCACTGGTTAATAAGTTTTTTTTTTTTTTTTTGTCGATCACTAGTTAATAATTGGATTTGTGGGTTTTGTGCCCTAAATGAGTGATATTTTGGCGAATAGAATCACACAACACTACTGTTTCACTCAAATTATAACACATTGTTCTTTCATTATTGGTTGGCTGAACTATAACCTCAGCGGTTAAGAATGAACTCCCAATTACCAATAAAAAATCGACATGCTAATTGATTATATTGAAAAAGTTAAATCCCAGGCAGTCAAAATTTCCCGATGTAGTCCAAACCAAGTGAAATGAAATCAATTTTTTTGTTAGATATGTAATGGTAAAAATAAATAAACAAACTAAATTAAAGGCAATTTTGGAACTACATTTAAATTAACTAAAAACGTTTTTAAAAGAAGCATCAATTATGAATTTATTGCAAGAAGTACTTTAAATACATTTTCAAATTTCCTTGCATTTTATTAAAGGAAGAAATGGTTCTAAAAGCACCTTATCAAAAATGTTTCAGTCATATTAAAAACACCTATAAAACACATCAACTAGTACTAAATATTAAGGTCTATTGTATTCCTCTTCGGCTCCGGGTCTACTGTCCCAAAAGTGGTGTCTCATTCATGGACCAAGATCCTCTCCTAAGCTAAGGATGAGGATCCTCCTCATCAATGAGTGTGGGCCGTTGGATGAAAATCTAACGGCTACAAACAGGAGGATCCCTTTAAAGTTATAATAATTGTAACCGTTGGATTTTCATCCAACGGCCCACACTCATTGATGAGGAGGATCCTCATCCTTAGCTCAGGAGAGGATCCTGGTCCCTCCTTCATGTCTCTTTCTTTATTTGTTTGACACGTGTACTCCCACTTAACTATAACATAACTCTGTTAACTTTTAATAAGTTAAAAAAATAAATAATAATAAAAATAGCATAAACAACTCCCCAATTTCCAGTCACCACCAACGCCCACTCCCACCCCCTCCCTTAATATGTTGGTTTTTGGGATGGAGATTGACGGATCTGGGGCGAGATATGGGCGCACTTGGGTTCGAAGAAAAAAAATTGAAGATGTCATCTGCGTACGGCGGGTTCGCCATTGACGGACAAGAAGAATCCATATGCGATGGATTTTGTCACCGGCCATGGAAATGGTGGCTTGAAGCTCTGTGAAGAAAGACCCGGATTGGCGTTGAAATCGAGCAAAGACACCACCTCACCCACCATTGACGTAGCAGCGATGCTTTTCTTTTCGGCTTCTTTGACTTCCTGGAGAGATAATTTTTAGTTTGTTTCTAGGGAAAATTGGGATGGAAATTTGGAATTTGATCTTTCATTATGATTTGGGGGTCAATTGTTTTGTGTTTTGCAAGAACCAATGGGACTCTACCCGTAGTTTTAATTTACTTTTTATTATTTATTTTTGAACTTATTAAAAGTTAACAGTCATGTTATAGTTAAGTAGTAGTGCACGTGTCAAACAAATAAAGAATGAGACATGAAGAAGACACCACTTTCAGGACAACAGTTTCATATCCTTCATCTTCATTTGTAAGTTAGAGGTCTTACGCTCAATTTTCACCAAAGGCAAAATTAAACCACATTATTAATAGCTCATTTTGAGACTAAATTCACCGCTTCCCCTTAGTGTAGAGAATATCGTTCGTTAAAATAAAAAAATTAAATAAAATTAAAAAAAAAAACCCTAAAAACACACCTTAATAGTCAATCAGGGCTTTGAAAAGGATTAACCTATTTCCCCCAAGGAAAAAGGAAGTGGGCCTGAAACTGATTATCTTTTCAAAATGGGTAGTCTTACAGTTTTCGAAACCCTAGGCCAGTTATCAATCAGCTACTAAACCACAACTCCTGCAACCTCTCACTTCCAACGAAGCCATGGCCGAATCTTAATCCAAATCCGAACCGTTGGGATCAGGGTCCGGGGGAGGGGCAGAGTACAGGCCAACTGGTGAAGGTACGACGGTAACCAGAATTTTGATGGTATGCTTTCGTATTTTTATTTTAGGGTTAATTTGTGAAGGGCAAGATTATCCGGAGTTTTTCCATATAGCTAATTGAGTGTTATAATTTTCTTTTCTTGGTACAAAGGTAAATTTCATAACCAACACATTTACAAATTATGATCCAATTACAAGTAAAGTCCAAAACTAAAATATGGAACCCAAAGCAAAAGGGTCCAACCCAAATTTTGAGCCAAAACAAACAAACAGAAAACGAAAAAACCCTTGTTACATAGAAGTCGTTAACACCACCGACCACGAACTACCGCCTTTTGCAGTCACCGGTATCCAACCAAACATAGCCTCCAAATTGGAAAAGAAGAAGATTCTACCCTCTTCCATCATGGCACAACTCAAATCTACATCCACCAAGTGAATGAAACTCGTGGGAGAAACATCCCACAAGTAACAGTGCCCATAGCGGCATACAGATGGAAGGTGATGGTGTGATCATCTGTTGGCAAAGAGTCCATGAAGAAAGGCACTTGGAGACTCTCCTCAGAACTCCTCAAAAAAAAATTCAGGAGCATCTAGGATTATTTTCTTGGAGCAATCAAAATTGTAAGGTAATCTTTTAGAGTAGAAAAATTGTTCCCGTGCCTCGTTCGAGGTTGGTGCTTTCTTCCCAAAGCCTGATCTTTACGAATGCTAAATTTGGGGAGAGAGAGGAGGGAAAATAGAAAAATACCAGGAAAACGATAGTTTTGTAATAAATTTGTGTACGTTTTACGTGGTAAACAATAGTTTTGTAGTAAATTTGTGTACATTTTATGTGGTAAGTACTGTGTACGTGTTACGTTAATTAATGAATTTATTTTATTAAATTTTAATTGTATGCTACTTGAGAATCTGAGATAGTACGCAAATATAGTATAAAAGTATAAAACTGCAATTTTCCCAATATTACTCGTTAAAATGGCAATAAGGTCAGAAGCATATCCCATGAATACAAAAATACCGTAGAAATACACAGCCCAGAGACATAGTTGGGTTCATAACCATTAAGTTGCATACAATATGTAACGCAGTCAACTCCAGCTCTGCTATCAACCATATAATATGATTTTATCAACATCAACCCAGTACTACTACTTGTATTCTATTTGTAAACACGCAGAATACTACTGTTGGAGTTTGAATGAAATTTCAACTCAAATGTGGGGTATTGTTGGAAATTTGAGTAGTTTGAGTAGAAATTTCTTTGTCCCACATTGGTCATTCCCAAAAGATTTTATCACTTTATAAGGCTTTATCCTTTATAAAAAGTGATTGGAGTAATAGGCCTGGAGACTAAAATTGGGCTCACCTTTGGGGTTGGGCTTTGGGGTGTACTAATTAATTGGTAATTAATATATATAATTAATTATAATTAATATATATTTAATATATATTTAATTGTCAAAAGATGGGCCTTGGGCTCTAATAATTAAATTAATTAATTATTTTTAATTTCGAATTTAAATTAATTAATTATTTATTCTTACCAACAGACTCATCTTTTCAGATGAAGTCTGAAGTGTGAAAACGCAGAAACAAAAACACCATTTTCAGCAGATGTCTCCCAACAGATGCATTCCTTCCTCATACCTGTTGCGAACAGGTATAATCACATTATATATACATCCATCTGCATGGCATTTACAACACAGAAAAATCATAAATCTTCTCCTGCAATCATAAACATCCTTTCTGAGAGAACCACATTAATATTCGCCAGAAGTCAATTTTCCAGTGCTGAAATTTCTGACTTAGATCGTTGAATCCTGGTGAAGCAGACGTCCGTAGAACTACAAGCACTGAGTAGGGACGAAATTTCTGTTTCAAGGACATTGCGGTACGCAAGCCTCGATCTTGAAGTTGTCTGTTTTTATAATTCGTATTCTAATTTATATTATGTTAATTCCTATTGCATTTATTGTTTATTAGTATCACAGATTGTTGACTTATATCCAACAACTACTACTTTAAGCACTACACATACATACGTACATATAGGCAGCTTGTAGCACGCCTATATATTTTATTTATTTATTTATCTATAATATATATTCAATACTTGAATATGTTGTCTTCGAGAGAGAGGTGGATTGTCTGTCATCCCATTTCCATACTTTTTCTATCCTCTCATGTTTATGTGGTCACGGTTAAGATACATCAACATTTTATATTGATTTTTTTATAAAAATAATAAAACAAAAAGTAATAGGAATATAAAATGTTGACGTGGTTTAACCGTGACCACACAAAACAGGAGGTAAGGGGAAAAGTATGAAAATGGGAGGGCAGACAATCCACCTTCGTCTCCGAGCTACAGGAGGTGAGGCTTCTCCAAGTCCTCAATGCTGGTAGGACGGAACCAAGCCTTCTGCTCCAGCAGCGAGGATCCCTCACCACCATCATGGGGTGGAACCGTCCTCCCTGCCTGCAGAAGAAGTATGTTCAGCTTCAGGACCGAATACCCTGGTGTGGGGGTTTGGAGCCCAGTTCTTGTCATAGTCTGCTTTCTTAGGTAAGGTTTAGTTTCTTTACTATAAGGATAAGGACGGTTATTGCTCTGTCCCAACATTCCACCGGAGTAAGCTACTAACTTGTTTATCAGTAGTAGTTAACGAAGGGAAATAAGACCATTTAATGTCTATAAGTGAAGATTGGATGGATGCCCACTCCTTGGGTATGCTTTGTGCCGGTGTTCGTGGTATGTTGGTTTTTCTGTCCTCGTGGGGAAAGACGGGATTGGCGCATCTCAGATGTTAAGTAATGTATACATGTCACATTAACTAATAAATTTATCTTATTAAACTTTGATTGTACGCATCATTCATTGCGTGATATTGTAAGCAAATGTAGTACAAAAATATGATCTCACTAACATTACTCGAGAAAAATAAAATAAGGTCACAAGCATATCCTTGTATTTCATAGAAAAGATACCGTACAAATACACAGCACATAGACATAGGTACATAACCATTAAGTTGCATACAATATGTAACGCAGTAAGCTCCAGCTCTGCTACCAACTATAGAATGATATGATTCTATCAACATCAACATCAACCCAGTACTACTGCTTGTATTCTATATGTGACACAGAATACTAAACATACATACATATATATAGGCAGTCTGCAGCACTCCTATATATTCGATTTATTTATATTTCTATAGTATTCAATACTTGAATATGTTGTCTCCTAGTTACAGGAGGTGAGGCTTCTCCAAGTCCTCGATGCTGGTAGGACGGAACCAAGCCTTCTGCTCCAGCACCGAGGATCCCTCACCACCATTCACTGGGGAGGAACCTTCCTCCCTGCCTGCGGAAGAAGTATGTTCAGCTTCAGGCCCGAATACCCCAGTGTGGGGGTTTGGAGCCCAGTACTTGTCAGGTTGGGGCGGGATCACATCATCTGGAACAACGCTAGGTCGAATCTGCTCATCTGGGTTCTTGTCATAGATTGAGGTGTGAGCAGCCCTCCTGAATATCAATACATACAAGCAAATGGTCAATTATGTACATACTTGACCATTGGAAACGTAATCACAAAGATTAGTATAATAGCATAACGACTTGGTGATGTTATAAGATTCGCGTCACTCAGATGTAAGACTTCTACAACATGATATTTAAAATTAGGCCAAACTTAATTGAGACAGCAGCTGAGTGCGCTTGGCGGCTAATATTTATAGTTCTAAGAAAAAGAAAACTAAAAGTAAAAGCACTTATTTCCCACTCTTGCTAATGACGTCCTAAGACACGATTTCTTCCCAATATTAAACAAAACGCCATTTAAGAAAGGATGAACGAACCAATTAGAAATATACACACAAAGGGTATGGAAGCGAATTTAAAAACATTGCAGCTTAAGCTAGCATGTTTGAAAAGATAGGGACAGGACAGACAGCTTTGCTTTACCACAAATGCACCATCTAGCCAGTTATTTTCAACTTTTCAAAGGATAACAATGTCCCACCATCTTTTGTACTCTTTACCTGCTTACCAAACAAGTTGGGCATTCCTTACCAAAAAAAATGTTGGCCATCGGTTTTATCTTAATTAGATTCCCTAATGGCCAAAGCATAAAAGGATTTGCTTAAGGGTAGGTGTCAATGTCATGCCAACACCCAAACAAAATATTCAAGTCACATGACCCCAACCCATGTTATTTAATAAAAGATAATGATCACCTACCAGCTGACCCAACAATTTTTATATTCCAGTGTTAATATTGTCATTTAGTATTACAATTTAGTAATATTCATGTTCATTAGTAAGTGAGATGTCTTAGGTTTAATTCTTGCAAATTTGATCCCCATTAATGCTAGCCCATTATAAAACTTAGCTCACTCTCCCGCTCGCTTAATATAGATAATATCGTTTGTTTTTAAAAATAAAAAATAAAAATACTAGTATGATATTCCATTTCGCACACTGCATTTCACCGGCCCATTGTCCTCAAGCAGGCATGCGGGTATTATGTATGTATAAGGTCATTCATACGAATAAATGAATTATACACCAAATATCTGACGAAAGAAAAATAAAAAATCTTCATGGTCAAAGTAAGTGGACTGGTAATGTTAATGTTAAAAGCTACCAAAAGTCGAGTTTGAACTTTGACCGCACCATTCATTTATCAAGAAATATCAGAGCCGCCCAAGTAGGCGAAAGATTTTTCAGCGTCATCGTCACACGTGATACATCAGGTATTTTTTTATACATTGTAGGATATACGTGTTAAAAGATTAACATAGAAACACATGATGTACCATTTATGTTCCTGTCACAACTAAAAATTTATCCAAGTAGGTGACAAGTATGATACTGTGGACGGTGGATGGTGGAGTCCCACATTTCCGTTATTATTAAGGAAAATTAATAAAAAAAGGTTTGAAAACTTTAAGTTTTAACGATAAGGATAAAATAAAAGATAAAATAAATAGTACTAGAATTGACTTTTTAATGTAAAAATGTGATTTTTCTTTAAACTGAACAGTACCGAATGCTTTTAAAGCTCTCTTATTATTATACGGAAAACTCTCAGCCCAAAACATGTCTGTCTTCATGCACATGAGTAGAAAACAAAAGATATCGGAACCCAGAAACAAAAACAAAAACAGATTACAGTCATACAATTGGATCTATCTCGAGAAGAAGGAAATAAAAACGATCTGAAATTGCAAATGCAACCTAGGCACATAAAAATTTGTAAGTTGATATTTCACCAAAAGATCTTGCCATGAAAAGGACACTAGATTTTAGGCATATGCACATCCGCATCCACATGTCACAATTGAAAGTTTACACTGCCACATAGATAATTTGAAAAACAAAACCACCCTAAGATATAGATCCGCAAAAGATCTAAGGATTTCCTAATATAGAATAAGATTCTCTCCGGATTTCTTCTTTCGTTCAACCAAAAATTGAACGGTTAGGAATTAATCTTTTCATTTTCACTGTTCTTCTTCTTCCTCTTCTCACTCTCACTCTCCGACTCTCTTCTTCATCTCTCTTTCTCTGACTCTCTTCTCTCTCTATCTTCTCCATCTCTCACTCAGCTTGATCCGAAGGATCCGGATGGAAGGTATCCGGAAACGATCTCAGTCCCCCAAATATGATTATCACCATGGTTAAATCCAAAAAAGAAACCCTAATCGTAATTATGTTGCTAAATTACCAAAAGTGACATCTTTTTCCTCTTATTATATTAACGAACGGTGGAGATTGTCCAATGAGAAGCCTAGTCAGTGGCGTGTCCTTATCGAAACCCCGCACCCAGGGAGTACCACGGCTAACTGGCCCCTTGGTACGAAAAATGCCCATAAACATTATTTAATTTTGTTTCTAAACTTTTTTCTTTTCTTCCCTAAAAAATATTAGTCATAAAACAACAAAATATCGATAAAAACGAAGCTGAAAATAGATCTAAAATTCTACCGAGCTTCCAAGCATCTTGTATTCCAAAATATTTAATAGTGAGATCTTAGTCATCATATTTTTGGTTAAATGATCTAACGGTTAAAAAGTCAGGACATGCAGAGTATAATACAAAGTCCCAAAATGGAAACAGAAAAAGCGATTCATTCAGAGGAGAATCTCACACCACAATCACAAAAAAAGGAAGGGATATATTTCAGTCACACTTAATTAATCATATATTCTGTTTAGTAAATTTCAACCTTTTTTTGTAGAAATTAAAGCAAATTTTCCAAACGGTAAACTACCGAGACAACTAAGATGATCAGATCGCAGCTTCTTCAACACGAAAATATTAACTAACAGATCAAAATTTCCTAGAAATTAGAGAAATTAAACGCAAATACAGACGCGAAAAAGCTCGAATCAAACGCAAAATGGATACCTGAGAGTGAGAGCAGAGAGCTGAGCTGAATCGCGCGTTCGGATCTCGTTGATAAGTCGCTTCCCCAAGCTCGCGATCCCTCGACTGCTCGAATTGGCGGCCATACAAGTGAAAGACTAAGCGCAAGTGTATAGAGAGAAAGAAGGAGTGAGGGATCGTTGGCTTTTATGTGTAAAATGGTTTGGCTGATGAGGCCGTCTTATATAGTGGAAGCTGGAAGGTGGTGTCTAATATTTTACGTCCACCTGCCCCAGCAGACTCGCTTTTTTGTATGCCACCTACCCGCCCACCGTACTCTTTGCTAATTGCTAGTACGAAGCGGCGTCGTTCTCTTTGACGGTTGGGTTTGTTTTGCGCGTCCAAGTCGCGACTTGGTCGAACATTCTCGCTTTAGTGTTTTAACGGTGTTTTTTTGAGGCGTTTGTAATTATGTGGTGGCGTTTGGTCATTGGCTGGTGTTTTTACAGTTATTGAGTTCTGCCTTAAAACTATTTAGACGCACAAAATCGACACTTTTAATAACATGTCCTCTTGTCTAAAATGATATTTTTTACTATGTTCTAAAATATCCATAATATCCCGATATTTCCATCGAAATTTATGTGTTTTTGGACTACTGATATTTTTTTGGACTACCGATATTTTAGACCTTGCTAAATCACTCATGTATCTTACCATGCAATGTATAAAGTGTAAAATATTGTACTAATTCATTATATATAAATGATTATGGTGTGTTTAAACTTATTTCATTAATTACTACATATTTTCTACACTTACAATGTTTGTCAGCTCGCTATATAATCAACTTAAATAAGTTATATCTATCATGCAATGCATTTCCTTCCAATTTTTTATGATAAACTAATAGATAATTGATTAAATAAACATCCTGCAAAGTTTCAATAAAACTTTCCAAGTTTTTCTTACAATTTCCGTGATTTTTATTCAATTTTTATCGATATCGATAATATCCCGATATTTCCATCGAAATTTCCGTGTTTTTGAACTACCGATATTTCCGATATCATCGATATTTTATACCTTGCTTTTTACCTCTATTAGACATTGGGTAATTTTTTTTATTCTAAAAAAAGAGGACTAACTGGTGGTTTCGTTACAGCAATCTACCTTTTTTAGTGCAAAATAGACTCACAAAGGCATTTTAGTTTCCCCTGACCCCATTGATGCTAACTGTATGAGTGCATATATTTGTACCACATTTTGTGTACTTAGAACTCACATTTAACAAACACGTAATTAACAACGTGATTTGTATTATTGAGGTTCATAAGACATGGAGGTTTACGTGTACAAATGGTCAAATGAATTGTCATTTGTACTAGCTGGTAATATCCATGTTCACGTAAACAGTTATACTCATAATCATGTATTTATATAAACGGTTATCTATAATTGTAATCATTAAATTTAGCACAATTACTCATATCCGCGAATATTTTATCAATTCCTATTTACGCTCCAAAGTCCAGTGGTCGTTTATTGACTGCTAGTTGATTAACTATGGCCAACAACTCTACCTACAACCTCTCCGCTTGAGTGAAATAGAATCTTTTTGTTCATGTATTTCTAAATCTCAAGTTTAATAATCACTTAATTATTAGAAAAACAAAAGGAATGCTAATTAACAATTGAAAGTCCTTTTTATGCTTGGATGGAACTCGAATATTCCCTAGCAAGCATGGCATTATACCAAAACCCACATGTTTAGGCATACATCAAGTCTTTGGTCTCTTACAAGTTATAAAAAAATTCTTAAAATGTTATGTTTGCATCAATCTCGAGTTCAAAGATAAGCATATCTTACACTTTTCTAACAAGCGTGCGTGCCAAAAAAAAAAAAAGAAGAAGCAAAGATTTTATAGTTCCCACAAATGTGGCCAATTGGTAAGTGAAATTAACAAAAATGGTTCAGTCTTTTGTTACTAGTACTGTACAACCAAGTAATCACGAGTGTCGAACGCTAGAATTTATCGGGTGCCAAAACAAACGAACATATGTCGTAAAAAGAGTGTTACTTAATTATGCATTGCTGACCAAAAGTATAGGAATGAAGACATTATTGGGAAGAACATCGCGAGGGGACACATGTGGGAGCCAAGGCATGCTAAAGGGCGGTGTCGAATGTGCACATTGCACAATGAATCAGTGACAGTTCATTTTCGTGACAAAATCAATATCCAATAGTTATCAACCCCTTTCAGTCGTTAATTGGAAAATTAATTGCAGCAAGCGATCCCTCATGTCGCGGGTTTGGTTTGCAGAACGCACATATACAAGGACGAAGGCATGCAAGTTGTAATTTACTTTGGCATGTCATGAGGTTACCTTGAAAAATAACTTATATGAAACGAATATGGACGAAGGCGTGCAAGTTGTAATTTACCTTTGGCATGTCATGAGGTTACCTTGAAAAATAACTTAGATGAAACGAATATGATAAGGCGACAATGTCACAAAACAATGATGTGGCACCATATGAGAAAATTCAAAGGAAAACTAATGAAAAGTGTGGATGCAAATTTCTTCCTCCTTGATCTTGGACAATTTTGCACCTACAAAACAATTAACACCTTAGGTTAAGGCCAAGAGCCTCACGCGCCCACGATGAATGGGGGGGCTTTGGCCGAAGAACCTCCGATGCCAAAGTTAGAATTTAGAGAGAAAGAGTGTTTAGAGAATTTTGGGATTTTTGCCAAAGTGTTGGAATTAGCTTTTTGGTGAGAATTTGAGTATATTTATAGGGATAGGAGGTGTCTAGGGTTTTTAGGTTTAATTTAGGTTTAATTAGCCAATTTATTTGGCTATTAAACATAAGATGAATGTTTTGGTGGTTTTTGAATTTATTGGGTAATAAAAAGGAAGAAATGGTGAAAAAGGTAGAAAAAAGTGATGGATTAGGTTTTGAAATGGGGATAGCCGGCCATGTGGTGTTTTAGGGTTGAATTGGATGTATTTTGTAGTTATTTGGATATAATGGATGGTTTAATTGACAATTAATGGGTTAATTAGGCAATAAACCCATTAATTAGCCAATTAACATAATTTAAAAGGAATGTGTTTGGGAATTACCTTGTAGAAAGGATTTGATGAGATGGACTTTGAATTGTTACCTATTTTGGACACTTCTGTCTTGGTTGAAAGAGGGTTGCCCGCTGCTTGCGCGTAGGAACCTCGTTGTACTGCAAGGGTATTTTTGTCATTTTTGTCCAAAAATCCACGTGTCGCCCTGTGAATATTTTTGGCTCCACAAATGCCCCCACACCTGTTGGGCTGCTCGCAGAAAAGGGCAGCAGGTGTAGAGAGAGATCTTCTTGCTTTAGGAAACTTAGGACTGCTTCCTATTTTGATGTAGATTATCTCTTTAATAGGAAATTAGATCCTTCTAGGAAAGGGAAATAAATTTCTCTCAAAGCTTATTTAAATCCACCTTAAGTGGGTTATTAAATCAACTTTGGAGAGCGATTTATTCTACCCTACAAGAGAGAGATAGCTTAGAGGATATTTGTTCCCCCTCCTCTAGCAATCTTCTACATCTTGCCCGTGCAAAGGACCGTCTTTCGTTGATTTCTTCGTCTTCTTCGTGGATAGTGCTACCGCGGGGCAGTCGTCGGGGTGGTGCGGCACGTCAGCTGGCATGGGCCAGGAGTCGACTCGGCATGGGCCGATGAGGTATTGCGGCAGGGACCACTGCTTTAAGCTGCTCGACTTGGCTAGAACCAAGGGCAGCTTGTGTGGCTGGGACCTCGAATTGTGGCAATGGGGCGCAGTGTTAGGCAAGTCACATGGCTCATGTCTTTTTAGGCTTTTGGACATGACTCGAGCTAGGCTGGTGATTGAGAGAAATGAAGAGGTTGCGAACCTCATGAACTGCTGGAATGTTGGGTTGAACTTCCCTGCTAGGTACCACGAATGACGTTGGCTACTTTAACTCTTTTCATTAGGAGAAACGTGGGATGTTCCCAAAAGATGAGGGGAATAGGATCAAAGCGGATGCACTGGCTCGTCCAATTACTGTTGTGGATCCTACTGCAAGTGAAGGTGGGAAAATGGATCTTTTCTGCTTGCTCAAGAGATGCCGGTTGAGAAAAAACCAAAGACTTCTTTCGCTGCTCATGAGGGTCCGTTTGCTACCAAGAGGTATGTGATTGACATGACTTCTTCCAATGGGAAGAAATGTAAGGCTGCTAGATCTGAGCATGTGGCGTCTTCCATGTTGAGAATGGCTAGTACAATTGTGGATAAGATTACTCAGCGTAAAGGTTTTATCATGCCCCCAGTGCCGAAGTCTGTACCAGGACGTTCTTTGGGAGCCAAGTCCGGTTCACCTTTGTAGAGACTTGCTATTATGAAGAGTGGTAAGGTGGACTCTGCTGCTAAAGTGGCGCCAAAGCCTGCTCCCTTTGCTGCTGAGATTGATTCGCCTCAGATTCAAGATCTTAAGCTTGCAATTTCTGAGATTCATTTCGCTACTTATGCTAAGAAGAGAGCGGATGAGCTGCAGCGCGTCCGTGTTAGTCTGCTTAAGAAGAATGAGCAACTGAAGGGTGAGAAGGATGGGCTTGAGGTTTTAAGACCTTCTCTATTTCTCCGGAAGACTTGCTTGCTTTTACTTTTAAGGCTTCCATTAGTGAAGTAGTTGGAGAAGTTAGTGCCCAGACTGGGGCAGCCAGGGGTGAAGCGTCGGATGATGCCGCTGCTAAGAGCGTTACGGCTGTTGAAGGTGTGGCGACCGAGTAGTCGTGGGATGTCCAAGCTGCTGTAGTGTAGTATTTTAGGTAGCCTTTAGGATTTTCTTTGTTTTTCCTTGTAGCTTTTGTTTTGCTTGAACTCCTTCAGCCTTTGCTAGTTGTTTATAAACATGTTTTCCTTCGTTTTTCTTCATCTTCACTTCTTTTGTTCATGCCCTAACCTTTAGACTTGATAGACCAGTGGCAGGCATGCTACTTTTTTATAAGCAGACAAACTCGCGTAGCCTATGCAGCCGTAGGTGTTGGTGTAGAACTTTGCAAAGTTGTTAGCCATAGGGTTGGCAGCCGGATGCCTTACTTACAGAAGCAGACAAGTCCGCGTAACCACTAGGCTGTTAACCTTGACTTTCTTCAATTCCGTAGGTTACGTAGCAAGTATCACAACACTTTAGGACTTGGTGTATGTTGTTC